TTATTATATAATTAGCATATATATTTAGCCTTTGCGAAGCTCCACCACACTGTTATCAACCATCCCTAGACTGTATCACCCTTTTCCACACAATTATATGCACAGTAGAGTTGAATAATGGAACTATAAGACATATATATTATGTAAATAAATTAACTAACCGCCCATGAAAAACAATGTAAAATACATTCTAATTATAAATTTAATATCAATGTACACAATGAACATATTGTGGTTGTGCGGCTGAAGTTAGCACTAAGCAGCCTCTCCTTATATTAGTAGGGAGAGAGGAGAGTGAACAGAGGAGTGATACTGGCCAAGACGTTCGGACTGTATATAAAAGCCGGGTACAGCTAAGGAGCGCACATCATTGTAAAGAAAAATAAAGGCTGCTAACTGTCATCTGTGTCAGCGTCTTCGTTTGGGCTTCGTAACAGAAGCCTGAGAAGATGATCAGAGCGTTTAGGAGGCATCGTAGGGCGTTAAATTAGGGTCAACTTTCACCACCAAACACAAAAGCACAAACTTTATAGCAACGTATAAGTGAATGAGTAGCGGACAGACAAGGGGAGATGCTGAGAGAGGCTACGATGCATGAGCCTTTTAGTTTACTTTTTGCCAAATTTTTGCTGTTTATTTTTTTTAGGTTTAGGAAAATTTGAAAAATATATATATATACACTATATTACCAAAAGTATTGGCTCACCTGCCTTGACTCCTACTATGAACTGAAGTGCCATCCCATTCCTAACCCAGAGTTCAATATGATGTCGGTCCACCTTTTGCCGCTATTACAGCTTCAACTCTTCTGGGAAGACTGTTCACAAGGTTGAGGAGAGTGTTTCTAGGAATTTTTGACCATTCTTCCAAAAGTGCATTGGTGAGGTCACACACTGATGTTGGTCGAGAAGGCCTGGCTCTCAGTCTCCGCTCTGATTCATCCCAAGGGTGTTCTATCGGGTTCAGGTCAGGACTATGTGCAGGCCAGTCAAGTTCATCCACACCAGACGGTCATCCATGTCGACCATAACCATAATTCGAGTCTGGGTTTGGAGGTTGCCCGGAGAACGGTAAATTTCAGACTGCATTGTGCCGACTGTGAAATTTGGTGGAGGAAGAATTATGGTGTGGGGTTGTTTTTCAGGAGCTGGGCTTGGCCCCTTAGTTCCAGTGAAAGGAACTTTGAATGCTTCAGGATACCAAAACATTTTGGACAATTCCATGCTCCCAACCTTGGGGGAACAGTTTGGAGCGGGCCCCTTCCTCTTCCAACATGACTGTGCACCAGTGCACAAAGCAAAGTCCATAAAGACATGGATGACAGAGTCTGGTGTGGATGAACTTGACTGGCCTGCACAGAGTCCTGACCTGAACCCGATAGAACACCTTTGGGATGAATCAGAGCGGAGACTGAGAGCCAGGCCTTCTCGACCAACATCAGTGTGTGACCTCACCAATGCACTTTTGGAAGAATGGTCAAAAATTCCTAGAAACACTCTCCTCAACCTTGTGGACAGTCTTCCCAGAAGAGTTGAAGCTGTAATAGCTGCAAAAGGTGGACCGACATCATATTGAACTCTAGGTTAGGAATGGGATGGCACTTCAGTTCATAGTAGGAGTCAAGGCAGGTAAGCCAATACTTTTGGTCATATAGTGTATCTACAGTAAAATACCACGATATAGCAAAACTCTAATGAGATTGGAATAAGAAACAAATATGTGATGTACCGAGGGAGCGGAAAGAGAACCATGAGTTAACTTTAATTGTGTGTTTGTGTGTGTGCGTCAGACCGTTCTGGACAGTTCCATGTTGATCGTTTGCCTGTTGATAAGGACCAGTCTTACGTCCCAGTCAAACTTAAGACACTGCTGGACAAACTCCACAGAAGCCAGGGTCTGAGAGCTTAGAGACAGAGGCACAAAAGACAGGCAGTCAAACAATGTTTCTCACCGAAGTCCGCAGTTGTGCCCTGGAGTGGACTGTTCTAAGTTGGCTTCAAACCCCCTGTACTGTTACAGGACGACAGCATCAGTGTTACCACTTTGACAGTCTGGGGACAGTGTAACAATCTGACAGTGTGAAGACAGTGGTAACAGATGGAGATACAGTGTGAAGACAGTGGTAACAGATGGCGATAGGGAGGGAGAGGGAGATAGTGAGAGAGAGACAGAGAGATGTGAGCAGCGAAATTACAGAGAGAGATAGAGAGACAGAGAGAGGTGGGCAGCTGGTGGACATGTGGTCCACCGAAATGCATTTTTAAACTGCCGGCTCGTGTGTTCAGTGAGACTGTTTTAATCCCTGACTCAGACTCGTCCAAACTCTGGTCTTCAGTTATAACTGTACTTCCTGCGGGTCCCCAACGTCTTCACGTTTACACTGATCACATGACTGGTGCGTGTGTGTGAAGCCTGACAGTTGCAGTGGACTGTGCAGGTTCGAAGGAATTTACTTGTTGAAGTACTCGTCCTGTCCAAGGACCTTCAGCAGATAATGATCCACATCCAGATGATCCAGGTCCTGGTGAGCGTAGCAGAAAGTCTGGTAGATGAGCAGGTCTACTGTTGATGAGCCTGGATCACAGAAACACAGAGGAGAATTTTTTTTCTTCCGTCACGACTTCGACACACTTCCGGCAGAAGCCAGTGTCCACATGAAGCTGTGCTGCTCTCACCATCGCAGGTGAAGGTCAAAGGTTCTCTGAAGTGCTCACAGATGACGCTGACCTTCACACTGATGCCCAGACCCTGATGCAGCTCCTCCTGACCCACAGATGGAGACCAGATGAAGCCCGAGTTCTTAGAACGGTCACTCCAGGGGTACGCCGTGCGCAGCCTGGAGCAAGCAGAACATTTATCAGGAGGACATGCAGACACTGTCCGTGTGTCTGTGCGTGCGTGCGTGCGTGAGGTACGTACACGTCCAGCATGTGACAGAAGGCCGCAACTTCCTCATCTCTTTCCTCTGATACCTGAAACAGTTCGTATCCAAACCCATTGATTCTGGAGCCCAACGACACCTGTCGGTCAGAACAGCCGACCAATAAGAGAACATCTACAGTAAGTCAAACAAACCCAGATGACCAAACATAGCCAAGGACACAAATTGAAAGGAAAGGACAGGAAAGAAAAATTAATTAAACCTAAATAAAATATATCCGGATTTGACCCTGAAGATATCCTTAAGTTCAGGATCAACATATCCAGATATTTTCAGGATCAGATGCTACACACTTGCTGAACCAACTACGCACTGAACCTTTGTCACTTTGTCACTGTAAAACTTGGTTAGATAAAGTCCAACTACGCACTGAACCTTTGTCACTTACTGTAAAACTTGGTTAGATAAAGACAGCTACTCCTCACCTGGCCTGCAGAAACCCTCCGCTGGTTCTTGTTGCTTTTGACCACGCTAAGATGGGGTCTGGGTGGAACCTGCGGGGGGAGAGTTTTACTGCGAGCCACAGGTTTTCCCGTGTGGGCACCGAAAGACCTTCGGCTTCTAGGGCGACCCCCACCAAGTGTGGGCGAGTTGGAGGTGATACCGTAGTCCAGCTCTCCTGCCATCATTTTGGGTTGATCAGTGTCAGGTGTAAACAGGTTCACATCTCGGGATGAGGCAGATCCTAGAGGTGACACCGACAGATTCACTGATCCCGAGGGCAGGTGAATAGGGTTTCTGGGTGGGATGGCAGGAGGAATGTCATCTGGAGGAGACGAAAGGTCTTTGGAAAGAATTCCAGATCCAGATCCGTTTAGGTCACTTTGGCCAGGGCCCGAAGGGTCACTGACCTTACTGACCACAGGACCCTTCAAGATGTAAAGAGGCTCTTTGGTGAAATGGCTTTGAGGAGCCTTGGTCCGGGACGGGATGGGGGGAGGAATCTGGGAGTCTGCCAGCTGGTTCAGAGCGGGTTCCGATCCAGACAGAACACCTTCGGTTGATGAGGCAGAGCTGCAGGACTGACCAGGGGTGGGGCTGAGCCTGCCGGGGGGAGGGATAGTCGGAGTTCTGCTTCCTGTTTGGGCCTTATCCTGTTTGTGACGAGACAGCATGTCATACTCCATCTGCAACGCCTCTGCCAGAACAAGTTCCCTTTGACTGAGGCCCAAGGCGTCCAGGCAGCCACCATCAACATTGTTATCCTTCTGAGTATTCTGAGTCTGAGCCGACGACATGATGTGGAGCCAGTGCCACCAGGTGGAGGGGCTGTTTTAGGGAACGCAGCAGAGAAGACACATGGACCTTTGCGCTGAGGACAGATGATGGACAAAAATGTCAGTATGACAAACCCAACACAAGACACTATAGTTTAGTAAATAGTAAATAGCAAAAAAAAAATTAAAAATTAAAAGAAAACACAAAAAAAAACATAGGTTTTGGAACTTTATATGTACACATATATATATACATATATACAGTATATACATACAAATATATTGTATACACAGTTGGACCGTGTCTGATGACGTTACGTTCACCGGTCTCGGCAGGAATAGGTGAACGTGACGTCACCTGTCACAGCAACAACAACACGAGACTGGTGAGCGTGACGTAATTAAACAGGGTCCAACCCCAACCGTTCTCAAAATTTGTTTACCGATTCGTAAACTTTACATAGGCACGAGTGCGCAAGAGCAGGTGGGAGACGCCACCAATGAAATCGTGAACGGGTATTCCCTTCAGTCAACATTCGCCTGAAGAATTGGAACTCGGTTCTCAGTAGAAAGAAATATACACAACAACTCGTTCTACATTTGTGCTGTTTTCATTAAATATTATTCACAATAATGACGACGAGTCGTCGACGTGTCTTTTTACGTTCAGCATTCAGCGGCGTTGTGGTACCAACGCCACTATATTTCAGACTAAATACCGAACCTGCAGAAGGTTTTCGGAGTCAAGTTGTCTCATCCCAAAGCCGAACCCACCTGGGCCCTAAACCGGACCGTATAGGTCCATCAACCGAGTTCCTACACAACCACGTCAATCGCAGGACAATAATTTACTTAAAACGTCGTGATTTTGACTCGGATTTGGTTTGACCTTCTCTCGACAGAATGTCAGCGCTCCATCTGAAACAGACCGGACTTGCAGTTTCACATTCACCTTAAAAAACCAGCCAGAACCGAGTCTTACCTGGGTTGTCGGTTCTATGGTCGCCGGGGGTAGGGGGTAAGTGCCATTATACCGTGGTTTACTTTCTCACGGCTACCGTCGATATCTGCGCCCCTGTGTGGGTCCGAACGCAGGCCAGACCGCGGGTTTCGGTTCTGATGGGATCCTGTCATTCAGGCAGTAGAATCGAAAAAGGTAGTGTCGCCGTGTCTGTCTTTTCTGAAGGGTGAAAATGCTTTGAATCTCGGTTCCCACTGGTTCACTTCACGTCCGTGGCTGCACTGTTGCCCCGGCAGCCGCCGTCAATGTGCCGGAAATTACAGTAACAGCAATTACATCACTTCCGGTCATTATCAAAAGCGAAGCATATAAAGTTTGAATTGTATTGTGTAGATTTGGCTTCACCATACAAACTGCCCCATCTCCTGCACTTAAGTCCATAAAGACAATGAATTAATTTTAGCTCATAGAGACAAAGAAACCGCTGGTCACTGCTGCCTCTTTTGGTCAGTTTTACTAAAGTAAATATAAATTGTATATAACAATGAATTAAATATATTAAAGTAAATATAAATTGTATATAACAAACAATGAATTAAATGATGTGTGTGCTATAAGATAAAACCATACACTGGTGAATTGATAAGCTGTGAGCTTGTTACACTGAAATAATGAATCAAATCTGTGATAGTTGATATATATAACATAGACACAAGAAAGCAGATTTTTTTATTATTATATTATTATTTCTGTGTTGTCACATTCTGTGTTAACTTATTTTAAAGTACCAAATACAAAACACATTTACAAAAAACATTTTAATGTATTGACAATGTCTCCACACTTAACTCCGGTGGGAAAATAAGTATTACATGTGATTTTTTTTGTAATACTATTTTGTAATTATTTCATTAGAACAAACGACATAATTCCCAACCTGTAATTTACACACCACTTAGCAACAATTAAATCATGTTGTCATCAGTGATGTCATGAACTAGGCACATTTGACAGATTTTAATTTCTCTACAGGTTGGTCTACTGTCTGTCCATCGCTGATCAGGTGAGCCTGAGCAAACCAATGTGCCCTTGTTACTGTTCAGTGACATCACACCTCTGTGTCCTCTGTATGTCCTCAGTCTTAGTTTTCACGCGGTGTCCTCTGTATGTCCTCAATCTGTTTTGTTCCCGGTGTGTCTCGTACGAGTCTTCTTATTGTTCTCGTGCCGAAAGTGTCTAAGCGTCTTCAGTGACATGTGATTGTCTCTACACCAGCTCCAGAGCAGTACGTTTTTCAACTAGTCTTCAAGTCCAGAAAAGAGAAACGTTCCCTTTATATAAACTGAAAGCCATCAGGACTGGTAGTTCCTCCGGGGCAGAGTTTTATTTTCACTTCTACTCAATTTTATCTGCTACTGTTTATTAGTCTGTTATTTTTTTTATGTCGGTTTTTGTTGTGAAGAACATTGAGTCACACAAATAAAGTTGTCCTTTAATGTAGCCACCGGTTCTTCCATTGTTTCTAGTTGTTCTTAGAAGCGCTCCTTGTCCGTCTATCCTCTGTGTGTCAGATTGATTCTGTTCATTGTCCACAGACTGTCCATCTGCCTTGTCCCCAGAATGTTCTGTTTGAGTTGTTGTTGTTGTCCCCTGAGTCTCCTGTAAACGCGAAGACAGTTTTTGAGCTGCTGCCCCCTCCTGGAGAGCCCAGTTTCTACACTTCCTTTTCTTCCTTGCAAGACGTTCGTCTGAGTTTCTCTCTGACTTTGACAAATTCAGGGGCCTTCAGGTTTTCTTCGTGCTCCTTCTGCTCTTGCTTCTCCATCTTTGGACAAAGACAGAAAGACGAGGTCAATGAGACAGGACATGGACTTGTAAGATGTGTTCTTGTCCTGCTGTTTAGTGATAGTGCCTGATTGGCCTTTGTCCATTGATCAGACAATGGGGTGACACTTCTTTGATCGGGGCCCTTTTATGGACTTCAAAGCTAATTCCATTCTAATGTATTGTCTATTCTTCAGTTAATTTGACATTGCTAATGAATAAACTAATTAAATATTACCAAAAGACAAACAAGGGTCCTGGACTGCAGGTCTGACTTGGGCAATCTTAGCTAGTTCAGCTTGTACAGTTATTGGTACGTGCGAAACAGAACCTTAGTCCGGACCTACAGCTCTGTCTTCTCTTGCAGGCTAGCTTAGCACGTCAACCATTCAACGCACAACTCCACTGGACGACACTGGTCATAATGACATGACATCATAAGGATGTTGGAATCTGTTGGCCTTGACTATAGGTCAAGGCCTTGACTATAGGTGCAGCCATCAAAAACCTACATAACAAGTGTACAGTATGTGTGGGCTACCTCCTCCAGTTTCCTGTGTCTCTTCTGAAGCTCCGCCTCGAGAGGTGAGATCTTCCTGTGAGCTTCCTCTTCCTGTTTCCTCTGTTTGAGCAGCTGATCTCGTTTCCTGGACTCAAGGACCCTGTGGAGCTCCGGTTTTAGCTCCACACTGACTCCGCCCGTTCTGAGAACACAGCCACACAGACAGAGAGGTTTTAAGAGAGATGGAGTTGACCTCCGTTCTCTTGGACAGACTAAAGCCTTGGGGTAGCTCTGCGACATTAATTAAACTTCAGTTTAAATCCTAATCCCGATAATTACCAATGTTTACCAAAATATAAAATGCTCCAATGTTCAGAATTGACATACTAAGCTTAGTTTAGCCTAGTTTTAACCACCCTTCTATCTCAGTTTATCCCAACTTTTATCTAAACCGTTTTCAATGTTTACTATTCCTTATTTAAAGATTTATCCCAACTTTTATCTAAACCGTTTTAAATGTTTATTATTCCTTATTTAAAGATAGATTCAATTGACAATAGTTGATTAATTAAATCACACGCCTTTGTATCTATATTCATCCAGCAGGGGGCAGTATGTTTCTATAAACCATAGCCGAGTCGTGTGTCACGTTGAGGTTTCTCATGTATTTGATAGATCCATAAATAAATGTGAATGAAATCATCAATATGCCTTCTCATAAGATTCTACTGATGATGTAACAGCTGCTCTGTTCACCTACTTGTTAAACTGGGGACAATGTTTCAAAGCAATGTCTTCACTGAGTGGAAACGTTTAATACCATTCTGCCCACCAACACCAATCCATGGAGAAAATCAGCAATTTTAGCTCATATCAAAGTGCACAGATAAATTCAGCAATTACAGCTCACAGACCAAAGTCTGTGGAGAAAACGATTGACTTTACTTCACAGACCAAAGTCCATGGAGCAAATCAGTGATTTTAGCTAATAAACGAAAGTCCATAGAAAGAATCAGTGATTTTACTTCACAGACCAAAGTCCATAGAGAAATTTGTGATTTTAGCTCACAGACCAAAGTCCATGGAGAAAATCAGTGATTTTAGCTTACTAGATCACTGAAGCTGTTGGTCCACCACTGACCCTCAGTTTGTGAGGTTTATCTTAACAAAGGATTCCTCAAACACACTAATGGTTTACATTTTCCATCATTCTTACAGAATAGAACAGATTCATACAGATGGATGTCATACATGGCTCTCACTTGTCTTTCAGGAATGTTCTTCACGCATGTCTCTAACACTTAACCTAAATAGACATTATTAAAGACCATTTTTCATTTTTTTTAAAAAGTGACTGAAAACTAGCCGTATCAGTAATGAAGCGACGTTCCCTCTATTTATCAATATTATTAAACACATACACATATTATGATACATTTAATAAGTCATTTTTCAGTCCCTTCAAAACCTACTGTATATGGTTGGCATATATGGTATATGCATATGTATATTTGTTTGTTTTGTTTGTTTTATTCTGTTAAAATAACAACATGACATTCAGACAAATCTGGACAAATTGTGTTAATGAGTGACTTAATAAGTCACAAAATGCAATACAATTTTATTTTGAAATTACTCTTTGGTCCATATAGAAAAAAACGTATCTTATCTTTATTATTATGTTTTGTATTTTACTAAAATCATTGCTGCGATGGCGTACTAATGATTTCATGAGAATGACACAAAGGTGTCCTCCAAAAAGTGTCCTCCATAAATGTGTCCTTCATACATGTCCTAACATGTCCTAAGCTGCCCACCTCTCTTTTCCCGCAACCCTCACGGTGTGACGTGTCCTCCCTCTTACCTCCTGCAGCTGCTCAGCAGCTCTCGGTGAAGCTCCTGGTGACTTCGTGAAGCTTTGACTGGATTCACCAGTTTCCTGGGTTTGATGAGGTCGTCATCCTCGTCCCCTTCCCTGTAGTCGGACCGGGAAGCATGGGTCGACAGCGGTGACGGCCCCGTTTGGACGCCCTGGGTCTGCTGCGGATCTCTGTACCCTGAAGTTGCGGACATGTAGACAGACAGAGGTGAGACAGTGAGACGGGAACTCTGGACATTATTGGGGTTGTTTTGGTGATGTTGCGGTGAGAGTGGGTATGTCTGTGGACACAAAAACCATGGGGACTATTTGTCCCTGTCAGCTGAATGTGGTCACCTGATCCCAGTGGTCAGAGATCAGATGTCCATGTCTTGTTCTTCTTTCCGGCAGACTGGGCACAGTTATGTGCATCAGTGCGTCGGAAAATACTTCACACAAAGAGAAAGCTGAGGTTCCACCCACGACTGTGTCACGTGACAGGAAACATCAACCAGCTGCAGATGGCAGCTCAACCTGAACGTGTCCCCAGTCTGACAGATGATGCTGATTGGTCTGCTGAGTAATCATTGGCCCATAAATAACTAATTGTGTAATTCATTTTAAATATGGAATCAAATCAATCAATACGTTATTCATGACTCTCCAGACCAAAGAATGAAGATAGTGGAAAAAACTGTTTTAACATCCAAAACTAAACACAACCAGAACACACATAAATCAAACAAGTATAACCACAGCAGGGCCAGAACCACAGAGAAGAACCAGATCAGGTCTGTCCCAAACACTCACAGTTGTGCTGGTCCGCAGACACGCTGACACAAAGTCAGATCCAGGATCAGACTAAGTCCTGGTTCTTACCAGACGTTTTCAGTTCCTCCTTATCTGAGCCGCTGCTTCCTTTCACATCCATCTGCTCTTCTTCTGGGTTTCGGGTCTTGTCCTGATAGGGTTCAGATTCACTTTTGAGAACTGTTGTGAGACCGTGGGAATCTGGATGAGCTCTATGTGACAGAAGGGGTGACCCCCCCCCCCCCCGCTCCTCCTCCTCCTCCTCCTCACCCTTTTTTTTTCTTGCTCGTCCAACTCCTCTTGCTTGTTCTTTCGATGCTTCACTTCACTCCTTGTCTCCTTTGAAGCTCATTATTCCCCAACTAAAATGTGAAAGTGTGAAGACCAGAATCTCTGACCATGAGAGTAAGACTCTGAAAACCCCTCGGCTGATTCGAAGAGTGACCAAAATCCAAACTGTGACTGCGAGACCCAGACATATGAGAATGAGATCTTTAGACCCTGGAACTACCAGAACTGGACAATGGGAACCACGAGAATCAAAATTAGAACCCTACAAAATAAGATTCAAAATCTGACATTGGGAAAAAAAAATATTTTAGACTTTAAACCCAGAATGGAGACACATGAAACCTCAAAACCTATGACCCAACTCCTCAGACTCGAAACCTGAAATTCAACAATGGTTGTGTGATGACTTACTCTTGGTATTTGTGTGTTTACTATTGTGTGTACACCTGTGCGGTTCTGGATGAAGTTCTTGGTACAGGTTGTACGATTTCTGAAAACAGAGAAGAAAAAAATATATAGGAGAAAAAAAAAAGAAAACATTAATAAACACATCTTTTCATGACCAACAGAAAACTGAGGTGTGAAAATGAACCCTGGCCCACCTGCTGCCAACTGTCATGTAAAATCATTGGTGATTTCCTCCCCAGAAATATATATAAATATAAATAATAATAAAAAATACTGCGGCATTTTCTCTGAGAGCTCACTTAAATGACTTGGTGGTTGCAGCAGCAGGGGGCGCTCACAGTGCAGTTCTTCACTCAACTACACTGCCCCTTTAAGAGCTATGCCCCTCCTCCTGTTCCCTGTGACTGAATGGACTTTGTGTCGGTCTCCAGGAGACGCTTCATCAGGTTTAAACACTCTGACCTAACTGTCACACTGGGGAGGGGGGGGGGGGGGTCCCAAAGCAGAATTAAAGAATGAAGCTTTGTTTCTTTTTAATCCTGGTGTAGATCAGAACAGTGTGACCTCTGTTGGACAAAAGTGATATTACACCCCAGTCAACAGGTTCGCTTCGACGCTCCTGTGAACTGTAATTAAAAGCAGGACCAGGTATAGTACCACATACTCAGGTTCTGTTCTTAACCATGTTTTCTGTAAGTGCCTTTAGGACCAGTTTAACACTGACTTCCAACAGTAGTAAGTAAAGTCACTGATGTTGGTCGTGTTAACTTGCATTCTCCGCAATCGCTAAAAACGTAGTGAGAAATTAGAAATGGCTTCAAATTTTGCCACAGGGAAAGAAATTTAAGACATAAGATAACCAAAGTTTAGCCAAAAAATAACCAAAAAAAAAAAATACAAGAAACATAAAGGTAATACATTACAGAACTAGCTAAACCAAATAGAACAGGTGACTTCGTAAATAAAAGACCTTAGAGTTAGAGCTAGTATGAGCAAAACATGTGGAAAAACTGCACAAAAAGATTAAAAAAAAAAAAAAAGGTTAGTCAAGCTACAGCAGCAAAACATGGAAGGAAACATTTTCATTTGGACAGAGATTCAATCAGAACATTGCTGAAGGTTGGTCGAAAAATACGAGCCAAAGAAAGTGGGTTTATACCGACGAGCTCCGCCCTCATGACCACCTGCTGTAGATCACTGCTCTTAAAATAGACCAGACTTCACACAGACCCCGCCCACCATGCTGTCAGTGGTGGTGGAAGCAAACACATCCTAACACCAACCCACCTCCCCCACCTTGTCTGCAGGAGTGTTAGCCATTCTTCGCATTCACTCAGTGTACACTTCATTGGGCACACAGCACTTTGCAGGACTGCTACAATAAGTAAAAGTTGTGTAATACAGTATAAGCGTGTGTATATAATATAGTTCTGGCAATCTGATGGACGAGTCTGGGTTTGGAGGTTGCCAGGAGAACGGTACATTTCAGACTGCATTGTGCCGACTGTGAAATTTGGTGGAGGAGGAATTATGGTGTGGGGTTGTTTTTCAGGAGCTGGGCTTGGCCCCTTAGTTCCAGTGAAAGGAACTTTGAATGCTTCAGGATACCAAAACATTTTGGACAATTCCATGCTCCCAACCTTGTGGGAACAGTTTGGAGCGGGCCCCTTCCTCTTCCAACATGACTGTGCACCAGTGCACAAAGCAAGGTCCATAAAGACATGGATGACAGAGTCTGGTGTGGATGAACTTGACTGGCCTCCACAGAGTCCTGACCTGAACCCGATAGAACACCTTTGGGATGAATTAGAGCGGAGACTGAGAGCCAGGCCTTCTCGACCAACATTAGTGTGTGACCTCACCAATGCGCTTTTGGAAGAATGGTCAAAAATTCCTAGAAACACTCTCCTCAACCTTGTGGACAGTCTTCCCAGAAGAGTTGAAGCTGTAATAGCTGCAAAAGGTGGACCGACATCATATTGAACTCTGGGTTAGGAATGGGATGGCACTTCAGTTCATAGTAGGAGTCAAGGCAGGTGAGCCAATACTTTTGGTCATATAGTGTATATCAGCAGTGTTCCTAGACTTTGTCTTTACAGGAGCATCAGTTCTTCTTGGCTCAAAGTCAAGGACAGAATATAGTGACCAGTAACAGCAGCAAAACATGGAACCTCTGACCAATAACACGTCTGAACAGTAACACGTCTGACCCGTAACACACCTGAACAGTAACACCACTGATGAGTAACACACCCGACGAATAACGTCTGACCAGTAACACACATGACGAGTAACGCATATGAACAGTCACACAACTGACCCATAACATGTCTGAACAGTAACACAACTGACCAGTAACACATCTGACCCGTAACACACCTGAACAGTAACACCACTGATGAGTAACACACCCGACGAATAACGTCTGACCAGTAACACACATGACGAGTAACGCATATGAACAGTCACACAACTGACCCATAACATGTCTGAACAGTAACACAACTGACCAGTAACACATCTGACCAGTAACACACCTGACCAGTAACATATATGAACCAGTAACATGTCTGACGAGTAACACACCTGGCGAGTAACACATCTGAACAGTTACACCTCTGACAAGGAACATGCCTGACCAGTTACACATACTGTATGAACAGTAAATGTAACACATCTGACAAATAACATGTGTGAACAGTAACGTGTCTGACCAGTAACACATCTGACCAGTAACACACCTGCCCAGTAACATATATGAACAGTAACATATATGTCTGACGAGTAACACACCTGGCGAGTAACACATCTGAACAGTTACACCTCTGACAAGGAACATGCCTGACCAGTTACACATACTGTATGAACAGTAAATGTAACACATCTGACAAATAACATGTGTGAACAGTAACGTGTCTGACCAGTAACAAAACTGACCAGTAACACATCTGACCAGTAACACACCTGCCCAGTAACATATATGAACAGTAACATATATGTCTGACGAGTAACACACCTGGCGAGTAACACATCTGAACAGTTACACCTCTGACAAGGAACATGCCTGACCAGTTACACATACTGTATGAACAGTAAATGTAACACATCTGACAAATAACATGTGTGAACAGTAACGTGTCTGACCAGTAACAAAACTGACCAGTAACACATCTGACCAGTAACACACCTGCCCAGTAACATATATGAACAGTAACATATATGTCTGACGAGTAACACACCTGGCGAGTAACACATCTGAACAGTTACACCTCTGACAAGGAACATGCCTGACCAGTTACACATACTGTATGAACAGTAAATGTAACACATCTGACAAATAACATGTGTGAACAGTAACGTGTCTGACCAGTAACAAAACTGACCAGTAACACATCTGACCAGTAACACACCTGCCCAGTAACATATATGAACAGTAACATATATGTCTGACGAGTAACACACCTGGCGAGTAACACATCTGAACAGTTACACCTCTGACAAGGAACATGCCTGACCAGTTACACATACTGTATGAACAGTAAATGTAACACATCTGACAAATAACATGTGTGAACAGTAACGTGTCTGACCAGTAACAAAACTGACCAGTAACACATCTGACCAGTAACACACCTGACCAGTAACATATATGAACCAGTAACATGTCTGACGAGTAACACACCTGGCGAGTAACACATCTGAACAGTTACACCTCTGACAAGGAACATGCCTGACCAGTTACACATACTGTATGAACAGTAAATGTAACACATCTGACAAATAACATGTGTGAACAGTAACGTGTCTGACCAGTAACAAAACTGACCAGTAACACATCTGACCAGTAACACACCTGCCCAGTAACATATATGAACAGTAACATATATGTCTGACGAGTAACACACCTGGCGAGTAACACATCTGAATAGTTACACCTCTGACAAGGAACATGCCTGACCAGTTACACATACTGTATGAACAGTAAATGTAACACATCTGACAAATAACATGTGTGAACAGTAACGTGTCTGACCAGTAACACGTCCGAAGTGTAACACGTCTGACCAGGAACACATCCAAGTGAATCAAAAGTGAATTAGTTCAATATTGACAGGAGCTGCTGTCGTGCTATCGTCATCTCAGTCAGGTTTGATGATGTTTCTGTACATACTTAAAAAAAACAAAAACAACCATGTTTCACTCACCTTCTTCCCATTCACTCCTCCCATTTTTTCTGGACTTGGTTCTGCAACTGTAGTCCACTTGACCTCTCCCTCTGTCCTTTTTTCAGAACTATCTTTCCACCCCCCACCACTACTGTGTCCTGACAGGCGAGCAGTCCGTACACTAGTGTGTGTGTGTGTGTGTGTGTGTGTCAACCACCTGTTCTCTGACTTTCTGCTGTGAGGAGTTTAGATCCCCTGACTGGATTAATGTGATTGGAGGAGACAGAGATCAGGCTGAGACCACAATCTTAGACCCCAAGATCAGGCTGAGACCACAATCTTAGACTCCACGCCTCAGTGCACAGACCAGAATTCACACGCGTGCGTTCTGCTGTCAACTGTCAGTGCTGCCTCCTGTGGAGAACGTCTGTCAAAACAGCAGAAGACATATTGTCGACATCATTTACAACACATGCCGTATTCACAGAAGGGGACGTAAATTAAACAATAAACCAATTTATGAATCTAATGTGTATTTTTTTTTATTGATGAGCTTCACATAAATGATGCCACAAGGTGAGTCACTTATTTACATTATAAATAAAAGTTTAATGATCAATCCTGGCGATCAGATGGGGACAGTCACATGACTCTACAGACATGGCCTCCACAGGTTACTCTAGAGAGCGATGCTTGCTACTGGTCTGGAGCAGGCCTATTTACTGGGTCTTCCCCGTGACTCGGACCGGACATCTGCATGAAGAGCTCGCGCAATTCGGTGATGTCATCTTCCAAGGGCATGGCGGAATGTTGGTCGCGCTGCTCGATGAAGTCCCACAGACGAACGCTGTTCATGAACTGGAAGCAACAAAATCATGTCAACAAAAACACCTGGTACACAGTTAAGTATCATAGCAATGGTGGCTAAAGGAGAAGGGTGTGAACTCTGACCCGCACGCTGCCCTCGGCGCTAAGCTGTTTTCGTGGTCGATCCGGTTCTGCTCTGGTTCCATCTGGAAGGGCGTGAAGATACAAACACTTTCCTCCAAACGGACAGGAACCTCGACCCTGGTCAAAGTACTTACAGGCCTTTTTGCTGCACACAGAAAGTGAAGTCGCAGGTGTTACTGGGGCATTTTATCAGCTGGAGGAGAGAGGTGGGCCTGATTACTCACCCAACTCCAGACTTAAAGAGTTCGATCAGATGATCTTTATCTTCCTGGTCCTCCACCCAGTAGACTGACGGAATGACGAACTCTGAGACGACTCTGCACTCAGGACAAGACCTGGAGCCATAAAACCACAAACCTCAACCCTCAGACCATAATACAGCAGGTTGAGTAGTCCTAATAGAGGACCTGTTATTCTTTACCTGGACTTAGATCTAAACCCAGTCTTTTAGACCTGGTTCTGTGAGTAGACCTAGTAGCAGTCCCTGTGATCTTAGCCCTGGGCTTTGTCATTTTTGTAGGCTTTCAGATTATGGTCTTGAATTAAAAACCTTCATATATAATGGTCACGGATCCTGCCTCAGTCATGGAGTTATTTTCAAAGTCTCTGAAACTTTGTTGCTGAATTATCTTGAACTAACTTCGGGCCTTAATTAAGACTTCAGTTCTGTTTTCAGTCCTTAGCCTAGGAGGACCTTATAAATAATCCTGTTTTACCTCTGGGTTTTACTCTCTCGTCTTTTCCTGGACCTGTTGTCAGGCCTGTTTATTTTTTGACACCCATGGTCCCAGTCTATCAAACATTTATCCTAGATTAAATATTCTAGTTTTTGATACTGGTCTAAGAGTCTGGTTCCTGACATTAACCTGAAACTGGTTTCTTAGGCCTTAGACCTCTGAAACCTCATGTCCTGTTTTAAGGTCTCAGACCTGGGCTAAGGTCTGAGACCTTAAAACAGGACCCAGACCATAGCTCAGAATCGGACATGTTTGTTATCCAAACAAAAATCATTTTAGACCTTGGTTTGACGCATACAAAAAGTCTTGAGCGTAGACTTGATTCTGGACCTAGTGTAAAACCTGGTCTGACGCTTACTTGATGATGACATTGCTGAATGTCTTGGTGCAGCGCCACTTCCTGATGCAGGACAGACAAAAGGTGTGCGAGCAGGCGGACAGGATTCCAAAGCGACGCTCTGACGGGTTAATCTTCTGAACCACAACCTCCATACAGATGGAACACACCTAAAAAGAAAATAAAAACAACAAGACTAATATATGTGGCGCATTACAAATAAAGGATGACAAAACTATGACTCAACAAACTCACAAAAGTGACTCGTTAAAACTTCCAATTTTGAACTCATCAAACTGATAACTGTGACTCACAAGCATAGACCACTCAAACTCGATTATTATCAGAAACAGAAAATTCAAGCCATGCTATGACACACTCACATCAATGACTCCTCAAACTCACAACCGTGACTCAACATTGTCTCAAACGTGTCTCAATAAACTCCCAATGAGGATTTGTCAAACTCTGAATTTTGACTCGTCAAACTGAAAACTATGACCTGACAAATTCACAAGCCTGGGCTAGTCAAACTCTCATCTATGATTGGTCAGACCAACTATAACATGATAAACTCGTAACAATGACTTGTCAAACTAACAGCCATGACTTGATAAACTCCCAATCATTACTTAACACATAACTATGACTCCTTAAACTCACAACTGTGACTCGACAAAGTCTTAAACATTTCTTAATAAACTCCCAATGACAACATTAAACTGACAACTGTGACTAGACAAACTCACAACCCTGACTCAACAATCTCACAACCCTGAACCATGACCTGGAAATTGACAATCATTATTGGACAAAGCGTAATCCTTGATACAATAATCTCACAACCATGATTCGATAAACTCACAAAAATGACATGACAACACAACCATGACTAGACAAACTCACAACTAAAACTTGAAAAACTCTCTACACGACTTGACAAACTTGCATCCATGACCGGACAAGTTCGTGACTGTCTCAACAAATTCACAACTGTGATTCGACAGACTCACAACTGTGACTCGTCAAGGTCTCAAACGTGCCTCAATAAACTCACAATGGTGACTTGGTGACAAACTCAAGACCACAACTGGTAAATTTACACCATAAACCACGAATCATGACTCGCCAACCCCTAATGTGACTGGACAAACTCATGTCTATGACTCAACAAACTCGCACACGTCTCAACAAACTAGCCCAAGTACAGTACGCAGAGAGCTTCATGGAATGGGTTTCCATGGCCGAGCAGCTGCAGCCAAGCCACACATCACCAAGTGCAATGCAAAGTGTCGGATGCAATGGTGTAAAGCACGCCGCCACTGGCCTCTAGAGCAGTGGAGACGCGTTCTCTGGAGTGATGAATCACGCTTTTCCATCTGGCAATCTGATGGACGAGTCTGGGTTTGGAGGTTGCCAGGAGAACGGTACATTTCAGACTGCATTGTGCCGACTGTGAAATTTGGTGGAGGAGGAATTATGGTGTGGGGTTGTTTTTCAGGAGCTGGGCTTGGCCCCTTAGTTCCAGTGAAAGGAACTTTGAATGCTTCAGGATACCAAAACATTTTGGACAATTCCATGCTCCCAACCTTGTGGGAACAGTTTGGAGCGGGCCCCTTCCTCTTCCAACATGACTGTGCACCAGTGCACAAAGCAAGGTCCATAAAGACATGGATGACAGAGTCTGGTGTGGATGAACTTGACTGGCCTGCACAGAGTCCTGACCTGAACCCGATAGAACACCTTTGGGATGAATTAGAGCGGAGACTGAGAGCCAGGCCTTCTCGACCAACATCAGTGTGTGACCTCACCAATGCGCTTTTGGAAGAATGGTCAAAAATTCCTATAAACACTCTCCTCAACCTTGTGGACAGTCTTCCCAGAAGAGTTGAAGCTGTAATAGCTGCAAAAGGTGGACCGACATCATATTGAACTCTGGGTTAGGAATGGGATGGCACTTCAGTTCATAGTAGGAGTCAAGGCAGGTGAGCCAATACTTTTGGTCATATAGTGTATGTTTCAACAATCACCATGAACCATGACACGACGAACTCTCATCATCATTATTGGACAAACTTGATCCATGACTTGATAAACTCACAAACATGACTTATTAGTCTCACGGCAATGACTCCACAAACTCACCTTGTCCTGACTTAGCTGAGCAGCAAAAGCTTTCTCCATGTCTGCCTCAAAGAGCAGGAGACACATCTGAAAAGGACAGAAAACAGATTTAGTGTAAACAACTAATATTATTAATAAGTAGTGTTAGATTAAGTTTTATGGGATTTGTTTTTTTATTTTTAAGATGTTTAATTTCATCACAGAGTGCTGGCCTCAGTTTGACTTCTCTACATGCTTCACCCCTGTATCTCTACGTAGACCAGAACACCTGTATCTGTACTCTACGTGGACCAGTATATCCCTATCTATGCTAAATAAAGTGTCAACTAAATAAAATGATACGAGCGCCATTTTCTAAATATACTAATAAACGTTAAGCCACTGTGTATGCAACTTCATTAGCAGTGTCCTCGTGACACCGCGCTCGTCTTTTGTTGCAGAACGCTTGGTCTAAAAGAGGCAAAGCAGTTTTGATCGCTTCACTGTCTCAGAGAATCACTCGGCCTGGTGTGTGGGAACAACCACGTTGCAAAAAATCCATATTTCAAGTTGGACTCCATGAATTGTCTCTGAAATGCAGCTTTCTTTTTCTTTGACGACGTAGGCTCCTCTTTTGTCTCCTCACTGCTACTTTTGCCCCTCGCAAAGAAACATTCCAGAGACGTTTTTTGTGACTGAGGTGAGCATCTTGACATGTATCAAGTGTGAGTCATGGACAGATGCGGCGGAGAGAATCCGGTTAATTTTTCAAAATAAAACATTGTTCAGAATCAGATAATAAATAAAACGGAAATAATCTAAGTTATGCATTGTGTCTGTACGGCCCCGGTACCCAAGGATTGGGGACCACAGCGGACCTGTATACCTGTATCTTTACTTTACATGGAGTTGTATGTGTACTCTATGTGGTGCTGAATACCTGTATGTGTACTCTACATGGATATGTACACTATATTACCAAAAGTATTGGCTCAACTGCCTTGACTCGTACTATGAACTGAAGTGCCATCCCATTCCTAACCCAGAGTTCAATATGATGTCGGTCCACCTTTTGCAGCTATTACAGCTTCAACTCTTCTGGGAAGACTGTCCACAAGGTTGAGGAGAGTGTTTATAGGAATTTTTGACCATTCTTCCAAAAGCGCATTGGTGAGGTCACACACTGATGTTGGTCGAGAAGGCCTGGCTCTCAGTCTCCGCTCTAATTCATCCCAAAGGTGTTCTATCGGGTTCAGGTCAGGACTCTGTGCAGGCCAGTCAAGTTCATCCACACCAGACTCTGTCATCCATGTCTTTATGGACCTTGCTTTGTGCACTGGTGCACAGTCATGTTGGAAGAGGAAGGGGCCCGCTCCAAACTGTTCCCACAAGGTTGGGAGCATGGAATTGTCCAAAATGTTTTGGTATCCTGAAGCATTCAAAGTTCCTTTCACTGGAACTAAGGGGCCAAGCCCAGCTCCTGAAAAACAACCCCACACCATAATTCCTCCTCCACCAAATTTCACAGTCGGCACAATGCAGTCTGAAATGTACCGTTCTCCTGGCAACCTCCAAACCCAGACTCGTCCATCAGATTGCCAGATGGAAAAGCGTGCCTCAACCTTGTGGACAGTCTTCCCAGAAGAGTTGAAGCTGTAATAGCTGCAAAAGGTGGACCGACATCATATTGAACTCTGGGTTAGGAATGGGATGGCACTTCAGTTTATAGTAGGAGTCAAGGCAGGTGAGCCAATACTTTTGGTAATATAGTGTATATCTCTATGAGGACAGTGTAAATGCACACCTATGTCAGGGTCACCTGGCTAGCCCCCATGAACAACTTTAGGTGCCCGACACGTATGTTCTTAAAAAAAAAAAAAAAAATAGCCAACAGGGTCAAAAATTGTACTGTATTTTTCGGACTAATTCACTTAAAATCCTTTAATCCTATTAATTCTGGTTGTGCTTACTGACCTCGAACCGATTTTATAAAGCCAAACACAGCGCATCTCACATGACAGCACACAAACGAAGGACACTGGAAACCAACAGTGACGTTTAACTGTTATTACAATTAGAAGATGGTCTGCAACAATTGTTACAGTATGGTTGTATAACCCAAATCCGGAGACTCTGCATTGAGTTTTTGTATTGTCGATGTATGCTGTGATGCAGGACGAGTCAGACGCATGGCTGACAATTTTTTTTTTTTCCATGGTCAAAACCTCTTTTTATTTCTCCAGGCAAAACACAGACTCTCTGCAAAACAACATCTGCGCTTCCACACCGCACAGCGTCAAAACCAAAAATACGGTGACCATCCAGAACAAAAATAGTGACAACCACCTGACTCTGAAACAACAACAGTGCCCTACTGTGTCCAACTTAGGTCACTACCTTTTTTCATAAATCTCCGTCCCTATTGATCTGAGATTCCATGCGCGCCCATCTCACCGATTTTGTCAAAACCCAAGTGAAGCAAACTAATTCGGGGGCCATCATTTCGGTGATGGATTAACTAAAGAATTCCAACCGCTAAATATTGGAGTTAACATGGCGAACAAAGTTCAACTGCGCGCTGCGAGGGAACATTGGATGACAGAAGGTGAATACTCATTAAGCAAGACAGGGAGGCAACGCTGCTAATGGATCGTGGGCACCTGGGCTAAGGTATCAGTCTCAAATGCTGTCCAGGCTTTCACGACTGGAATCGTCACTGAACAACTTAAGTAACAGCAACAAGACTGACTCCGATAATGACGAGAGGGATCCGGGGCATGCTTGATTGTTTCGTTGTTTCGTGCCTTATAATCCGGTGCGTCTTATGTATGAAAATAGACCCGTTCCTTGATATCGTGCCTTATAATCCGATGCGCATTATGGTTCGAAAAATACGGTAGAAGTAGCTCTTCGTATTAGTAAGTACCCTCCGAGTAGCTCTTAGTTTAAAAAAAGTTTCTGACCCCTGCTTTACGTGTGCCTGCATACCTCTATTTGTATTTTATTTCTACATGGACTTTTATACCTGTATCTGTACTCTCTGTGGTAGCTGTATACAGGGTTATACTGGATCTGATCTGTTGTAACAGCTACAGAGTAGTGTTGAAAAAAGAAACTTTGGATGGTTTACTCTTGAACAGTAAAATTGAATAAATCTTGAACAAACCGTTCACAAAAAAAAACACATCACTACTACAGACTTCCTGTTCGAAGTTATTCAGATAATCAAGCGATAATCAAACCTTCTCGTGTACTCGTCTCTGTTCTGGATTATGAGGGTGGAGAACCTGTCGCCCGCACACCTCACACAGGTCGCCATGGAGATACGTACAGTCATTGCCATAAAAACACTGTCCAGCTGCAGCATAGGGGCACAGCGGCGGGAGAGAATCCTGTGAATCCCCAGCAGCTGGAGGAGAGGCTAAAGACAGGGGTAGAAGGAAAATGACATCATAATGACATCATACAGATCTCAGACAAACAGAGGCCAAAGCGAGTCATGGCTAACCTTGCTGTTCCAGGTTCGTCCTGATGGCTTCGACGTAGGACTGAGGAACAACTGTGACCTCTGACCTCACATTGTCGGATACAGGTCTTGACTTTCGCTCTGTAGTGAGAGCTGGGGGGGGGAGGGGGAGCAAAGGTCATTCAGATAGTTTCAGTTTCAGTGTGTTCTGAATCATTTCTTATTCTATCTTTGACAGCTGACTGCTGTTTGTTTATGAATTTAAAAAAAAAAAAAAATTCTGTGTCATCATCACTCAGGTGTGTCGTCACTTCGGCAATTTGCAGAAGAAACCATCTCATTCAGCCATCCGTCATTTCAACTGTCCCTGAAAACGGCACCTTTTATATTCTTTTATCTTCCATTTACAAAATAAAGTTAGGACAAAGAGGAGCTTCGGTTTTCACTTTGGTTAAATTTCTCCTCTTCACTGAACTTTGTTTTTCACATTGTTTTGTTGTGAATAAAGTACCAAACGCTAAGGATGTTTCTACAGAAGATGATGACCATTGTACCATGTGGTGGTGTGTGTGTGTGTATCGGTTTGAATGTGTGCCCTCACCCCTGTCTCTCAGGACCAGATTCTGTCGAGCTCCACCTCTGAGTGAGGCTTCACCCACAGAACACCCTCCTGTTGGATTGGAGGATCCTCCCCCTCCTCCACTTTTATACGACGGCATGACGTGATCATACCTGTACGCAGAAAATTGTTTTGGTGATGGCAATGACATGTCAGGTGTGTATGTGCGTGTGTGTGTGTGTTTTTTTACCTGCAACGTTCTCCATAGGCACATACTCCTTTGAGGTAATACTTGCAGATTGTTGAAGGTTTACTGTTGTTCAGGTCGTGAGAAAACATACAACGACTTCCTTCTCTGCAGACACCGTGAAGGTAGTACCTAAAATGCACAAACACGAACCATTCAGCACAGCAGATTCGGAACAAATGAATTGATGTATTGTATTTATCATGTGAATAATCTGTATGTTTTCAGTAAATACAGATTATTCTAAAGCGTTCCCTCCCGGTGTGGTTTTATTAATGGCCGAAAATGTAAATTGTGTCATCGGTGACTTGTTGCGTTGACTTTTACTACACGAGAGCAGACTTGTGTATACGAGCAGTCTTGCAATTCCACACACACATAATATATAAAGAATATATTTGTGAATAAACATATAATTATATTTGTTAATCTTTTTCATAATCGTCATTTTTGTGACTCCCCCATTTCTTTTTGTACAGAAAATGGACTGAACTGTAACCTTACCAAACCACATCTTTCCTGTACTATCACACTCTGAAGAAAAATGTGTGCAAAAACACATTTAAATATTTTCTCAACTTAACTTACAATACACTCTTAGTTGTAAATGTACTGCTACACTATTGTCCACACCTGATGTTACATGATGGCGTTACTGTCTTTTTCCAAATATGGTCATCACGTCAGTGCTAAGAGTTAAAGGTTAGCGGTCTTTGACGGATCATACATTGTACCAGGTCAAAGGTGGGTACATCTGTTAGTTATCGGTCTTTGACGGATCATACATTGTACCATTCGGGTCAAAGGTGGGATGTTACAAATAAAACTGGAATACATCTGTTAGTTATTCTGAGCTTTGAAAGTCTTTTTTTATAGTTGTTTTCAGTTTCCATCGGATTAATCTTAGATCTCTTTAAATTTCCTCAAAACTCTTAATTACTAAATACCTCAGCTACAGTTCATAAATGTATAGAATGTCATCAAGAGTGACAAACAGCAACTCAATCACTGCGTCTTGCAGACAAATCTCTGTGATTAATCGACGCGACCATAAAACACACGCACACGTGGGAATTGTGATATTTTCGAATATCAGAGATGATCAGTCCATTAATGGTCGCAGCCTTATAGACAGGGTCATGTGTGACCTGAACCCGTTAGCTGAGAACATGTTGCATAGCTAAAAACATGAGCTGTATGCTAACGCCTTTGCAAAGATTTTGTTCAGAAATTAGTCACGAATTAAAGTCGGTCAGAGGTCAGACAGGTACGGAACACGCAGAGGGTCTCACCTGCAGGTCACCTGCTTCGTACTCATCTTTCCTGTGTAGGTTCAGCTAACAGCTATCAGCTAACACCAAAAAGCTCTCAGGTGACAGGCTGAGTGTCGCCGTCAGACGCCGCCGACAGAAAACGGCAACTGCAGCTCGACGGTTCCCCCTCTTTCACCTCTGAATTATTTTTCAGTGATTCCAATTTAGTTCGGCCATAAAAAAAAGTTGATGTCGCATTTTTCAATTATGCTATTTTAATAATAATAAATAAAAATGAATCGTTACCAATGATCAAAGGTTAGTGAAAGCCTTGACCAGGGTTGCCATGGCTACCAGCGACTTTGGTTACGTCACTTTTCCGACTTCTTGTCTTTGTCTCAACGCAAAGTATTAGTGTAAAACTGCTGACTTATAAAAACGTTTCAAAGGCGGAAGATAATAAGACAATATTGATAAGAACAACACGTGAATAATGTGAATTTTGTTGCTGTGAAGAGTTTTGGTACGCCATCTTTTATTTCTGGAAGGAGAAGTGAAAACAAAGTCAGTCCATTTTGTAGCAACACACAGACGTCTCGCGCTGAAAGTATCAAATAAATAAGAGTAAAGTTAATGATAAAATAAAAATAATAAAATAAATTAATGACGGACCTCCTAACATGTGCACCTATCATAAGAACAGCAGAGCCGGGCATGGGTGTTGCATTTAATGACCGTACTATAAATTAAGATTTTTCCTACGAGGTGTGAAATAAACTGTTTCGTATGGCAAGTGGAACCATATATTTATAACCCCGTTACACATTTTAATCCATACAATTTTTTTATTGTATTTATGTATTTTACACATTTTAATCCATACAATTTTTTATTTTATTTATGTATTTATTTGCGCTAATCGCATCAAAACCATGCAGCACTAGAAGTCGCATTAATGGAAAGAAGTATTATACGGTTCTTATTTTTTAAAATAACACTTAATACCTTTCATACTTCAAAGACTTATTATACTTTATACAATTATTGGTCTTGTTTAAAAATTCACAGATTTAGTTGTATTCAGAACAAACAAACAAAAAAATACTGACTGCCTCTCACGAAAATAGATTTGAAAATATGTGACCTAAAAAAGGTTCCCGACCCCTGCGCTAAGTAGACGGAGAGCAGGCGCTCGCAGCTTAGGTTCCCGACCCCTGCGCTAAGTAGACAGAGAGCAGGCGCTAAATACAATATTTCCCTCGTAGTAAGAGGAACTATCTAGTTACGAGTGCTCAATCCAGGACTGGCATGAGCCTGACTGCTGCATTGACTTCCGTGACTCGTACTTTCTTTACGGATTAAGATATGTACACACACATAAAAATAGGTGTTTATTGTAGATTTGTAAACGTCATCGTAGCAGAATCAGGCCCATTCTCCATGGAGACGTAGGTCCAAGGGTCACATGTTCAGAATAAAGCCACGTGACTGTCAGACAGCAACATACACCTGATTGGTTAGGTGTGGACATGTGATGTAACCTAGCGGGCTGAAACCTGACAACCAGGTGAGAAACAGAAGAAGAAGAAGAAGAAGGAGTGACACAGAAAAGGAGGGAAATGAGTTAAGAAGAAAAAAGAAATATAGAGGGAGAGAAGTGAAGGGAGAGGTGAGGAGATAAAAGAGGAAAACGGTAAGTCATACTGGAAGGAGTCAACATTTTGAAGGAGACTAAAAATGGGAGAGGGAAGAAAAAGCAGGACTGCAAGGGACTGAGGACATGACAGGAGGGGCAGAACAACAGACCAGGGGTAAAAGATGCATGTGAAGAGAGGCAAAATAAATCATTATAATTTTGTTTTTCTTTTAGAAAAAAAAAGGTCAAAGAGGAGGGGCAAAAACAGGCTGGGATGGAGCAGAGTCTAATCAGACTGACTCACTGTCAGAAGAACATCTTCTGCTTCTTGGTGCCAGAGCAGTGTCCAAGCTGCGGGGAGGAGCTGAAGGGGAGCAGACTGCAGGAGGCGCCAGTCAGCCTCCCCTGTCCTTTCACCAATGGTCACAAAACCTCCTGCTGTCTCCTGATTGCACCTGCACAGGACAACTTCAACAGGTCCGTCACAGCACCTTATACTCAACCTGTCTGTGTGTCAGAACCAGTGTTGGGCACGTTACTTTGAAAAAGTAATTAGTTATAGTTACTAGTTACTTCTCCCAAAAAGTAACTGAGTTAGTAATTAAGTTACTCCACTATAAAAGTAACTAGTTACCAATGAAAGTAACTATTGCATTGCCTTTTTTTAAGTTTAAAAATGTAAAGTAGAAAAGGCAAAGGCAGGTACCTTAACAGAGGTTTTAATTTATTGCACCACAACTGGTACAACTGTTTTCTTTTTCACAAAAGTAAACATTTTAACAACATGAAGTGCTTTTAACTCGCTGTGGTGTAAATTAAATGAATCAAACTTTTACAACTTCAGACAACCGGTGGACATACTGTATATCAGGTATAAAGTAAACAGTGTAACATTGTGAACAGTCACATCTTTTTTTCACTGTGTAAAACATTTTTTAATGAAGTGAATCCGAAATGGATTCGGATCTCAAAATATCATCGTGAAAACGACAGCCATGAATTGAGATTGAGTTCTGATCCTAATGTTTGAAATCCTAAAAAATAGGTCTGTTGAGTTTCTCTTGTGCTCTTAAGTGCTTTCAACTTTCCGGTGTAAATTAAATAAATCACACTTTCACACAATTTAAGACAACTGGTGGACATACAGTGCTCCAAGCGTAAGTAATCACAAGTGAGGAAGTAATCACAAGTGAGGAAAGTGTGCTGAGAAGATGGAAGGAGTACTTTGAGGAGTTGTTGAATGAGGAAAATGAAAGGGAACGTAGGAATGAGGAACCAGAAACTATTAGGAAGAAGGTAGATCAGATTAGAAAGGATGACGTAAGAAAAGCCCTGAAGAGGATGAAGAGTGGAAGGTCAGTTGGTCCCGATGACATACCAATGGAAGTATGGAAGTGTTTAGGAGAAGTGGCAATAGAGTGTTGTTGTTGTTTAACAGAATTTTATAGATGGGCAAGATTCCTGATGAGTGGAGATGTGTTTCATTCATAGGAAGGGTGGTGTGCAGAGTTGTAACAACTACAGAGGGATAAAGTTAATGAGCCATACAATGAAGATTTGGGAAAGAGCAGTTGAAGCTAGGTTGAGGCAGGAAGAGGAGATTTGTGTTCAAAAGTATGGTATCATGCCTTGATCGAGAACCACT